GGAGCCGTCGTAGCCGGCGTACACGATCTCGGGCTCGATGTTTTCTAGGATCATCCCAGGGGAGGGTGTGAGTGCGCGTGAGATCGTGGAGAGCTGAGGGACCAGCGCCGTGTTGACAGAGGGCTCTTTTGCGGGGGCGATGTAGGTCGTCCCTTCCTCAGGGCTCTGGGGCGGTGGGGGTGGTGGCGGGGGCTGTTGCTGCTGTGACTGCTCCTCATGAATCCCTTTTAACTTTCCCAACTTCTTTGACTTCCGGGCTGTATAAAAATCATAAGTGATGAGAGCAAATTAAAATAACGACAGGGATATACACCATATGAGGTAAATTACAATCAAACATTGATTTATATAGAGTGGGACAAAAGAAGGTTTACAATTATTCGTGTGGAAAATAAAGGGACCCTTAATAAATAATAATACAAGAATAAGACCTGCTTTGTGTACTGGCAACTGTAACCTACATTTGCCCACCCTTCATTGGTTAAAACATGCCTTTCCTCTAAAGGTGACTTTCGACACTAACAGAAAGAGTAGCTTTAAAAATATTTTTGGAATACCATGTCCCCATGCTTTATATAAATGAACCAATTTAATGACTTTATAAATAGGAACTATTCTTAGTCTCATTTTATAATGAAGAAACTGAGACCAAAAGGGTTGTGAGAGCTGCCTAAAATCGCACAGCAAGTGTATGTACAACAGAGACACAAGTTCAGAGGAAAAAGTCATTTCGTGGGTTAATAAATGACATATGCCTCCGCTAAGCCTTCCATAGGTTGGTAATTCCCACTTCTTACCCACTGAAGAGCTGCCAGCAAGCGCCAGGATGGCCTGACTGAGCTTGTCATCCTCGTGCTGTCCCTCTGACTAGGAGTTTCTTTGGTGCTGCTTCCTCTCCCCGTTGTGGCCCCTGCACCATCACCTGCTTATGCAGAGTGGTTATTTTGTGCAAATGCTGCCAGCCCAGCATCCCCAGCTCTATTGTGGGCGCAGAAGCACAAATATTGGGTGTCCCTCCTCTGTTACAGCCCCTCTGGCACCCTGGGAAATGCTATACCTAATGCAAGTGATTCACAGATTTCCACGGGATGAGTGGGAGAGCAATCAACCCCAGATCAACGTAACAAAGGGGAAGAAATTAAATATCTGGATGATTTCAAACTGGACAGCTAACGAGTAAATGCACAGGAATTGATACCACACGAAAAATCAGATGCAAGTTACAGCAATACACACAAACTACAATCTTTAAAAGTCTGTCCACTCTTTGTTTTAAATATAAGTAAGGAATTCACATAACATATAGCCTAGAATTAAAACATACCATAATACTATATGAGTCCCACTTTAGATTTTTAGAACAAGTGACCATCTATATGCTCTGATGTACTCAGAACAGCCTGGTTTATGCCTGTTCTCCCAGCATGATTATCGATAGTGCCCTGCTTACTCCTAAAAGCGCCAGATTTTGGTCAATGGATTAATACTGTGCTCATCTTCATTAAAAACCAAAGAAATAGTGCTAACTCTATTAGCAACTGTCTTTCACACTCCTTTTAAGGTTATTATTGTTAAAATAGATAACGGAAATGAAGGCGTGAGAAGGTGGAAGGGGATATTGGCAGGCAGATAGGAGGGTTATGGGTGGATGGCAGGTGGGTGGGGTGGGTGAGTAGATAGGGAAGATTAATGAATGGATAAAGAGAAGAGAAAGCCCAGAATTTAGAGATGTGGTAATAACTCAATTTGCAATTGGAAGGTTTTCCATTTTTTAAAAGAATTTGTTTTAAAATCCTTGAAGACCCAGACAACTTCTACTTAGTTTAACATATGTGGGGAATTTACAGGATATAAATGTAACACCGTGTAGGACAATGCCACACCAATGAACTTGATTTTAATAGTAACCATTCGTGTTTACAATTACAGCCATTAACACTTACCACATTCACCACAGAAACACTTACCAATTCAGATAAAAGCCACTATCCAACAATAGAAGTACCGGCCACACATTCATTACATACTGGAATGGGCTTAAAAGATGAACAAGCTATAATTCCCATTTTAAGGAGTTTAAAATCAGCAAAGTAACTTTAAAATTCTAATAATTTCAAATCATTTCATTTCTTATAGACCGTTTCCTCCTATATAAAGTTGAGGCAGAAAAATCTGATTATTTTGAATGAAAAACAGACGTGTCAATCTCATGAATACTAACGGGAGCTGCGACAAAGTATTGTCCAATAGCACTGAGCATACAGGAGGCAACCAAGGTGCGTCTGAAGAACAAACAAAAGGAAAAAATAGCAGCTAAATGCAGAGAAGGAGGAGGAGGGGTAGGGAAAAAAAAAAAAAGGCAAAACAGAGAAGGAGAAGAAAAGAACCAAACATGTAGATAATCCAAAATGCTGGCCAACTGATGACTCTGGAAGAGCCTGGGAAAATCCTTAAAAGCGTATCCTGGTCATCGGGAATCAGACACTTGGAACTGCCCCTGTGCCACATACACCTGGGTAAGCCTCAACTGATTATCATATGAGAAATGGGGACAGCAGGGCCCGCTCCTATCTCACAGCGAGCTAAACGGATGAGAAAAATAAAAACCTGTTGAAAGTCGTTACTAACATCTGAAATAGTATTTCAATGTTACTTCCATTCTTTCCCATAATTATTTCGCAAATATTAAAAATGTCCCCATTCATGAAAATGTCCTTACCTTGTATAAAACTACATCTGATAATAACCACCATTTGATTGACTAGAAATAGCCCTGGGTGATATTCTCAAATTTTATTAAGTGTGATATTTGCTTGCAAATTAATGATAAAATTCACGTTTGTTTAAGGCCTTAGGTCTATAATGCTGTGTTTATTCTCATGGTCTATTTAAGGTCAGTGCAATGAAATACCATGAAAAAAGACCCTTAACATTTCCTCTAATGTTATAAACTGTGGCCTAGAACATAACCTACTGAGCAGATTATCAACATTCTGTTTAGCATGTCAGTCATATTTAATTTCATGCTGTGGTTTTATGAATATATATAGGGCACTTGGAATTGAGCAATAATCTGTATTTACTTAAATACTTCAAGGCAGTATGTACTCTCAGTGTGCAGACTCTTCATCCAGTATCTTTTCTCAGAGCATGGAGGTAAGGTTACATATTAATTATACTTATATTGCTCCAGGCAGCCTTCCTAAAATGCTTAACCATTCTATGCTGTTTTTCTAACACCTACTGTATTCTAGAATTAAAGTTCCCAGAAGTTGATAAGGTCTTATGTATTCCTACAACATTTTCCATGATGCTTATGGGTACTCAATAAATGTTTGTTGACAGAATTTATTTCATTTTCAAATTTTAAGTATTTGCTTACTTTCATATAGGAAACATAGGCAAGTTTCTGAGATTTTGAGATTCAATTTCTAAATTATTATTCTTCCCTTTCAAAGTGTCTACTGATCCATTTGTACTAGTAGAGTTGTTACTCTTAAAATGACATCACTCAAGTAACAATAAACTAAATGTGCTGGGCACTTAGGGGCTCAGAACAGTTCAAAACTGTGATTAAATATATTATTTCCATTTTACAGGTAAGAAAACTGAAGCACAGAGAGATACGTCCTCCAAGGCCACAGCCTGGGCTCAGAGCCTACACTCTTAACCTCTATACCATGTGCTCTCTCTGCTAATCCTTTCTCTTTATTTAATTTGTATTTATTTACAC